CCCCCCAGAAAAAACAACAACCAACAACAAAAAACAAACACCCCCCCTAAAAACAAACAAACAAAAAGACAAAAAACAAAACAAAATTAAAAAACAAAGCAAAAACAAAAACAACCAACAATCCTATCGCTTGTGCATGTTTGTTGTTTGTAACGAACTGTTTCAGAGTGTAGACCTTGTTTACTCGAGACAAGTGCAGTGGACTGGTCAGGAACCTCTAGCTCTGCACTCCAACCATGTTGGCTCTGTTGCTATTCGGCCTGCTCGCGAGCGGTTTGCCGTATTCTGAGTGTCAGAAGGCCAGCTACGCGCCCAAGAAACAAGTAAGTGGAAACTTCATTCTTTTTTTTAATGTAGGTGTGTTTTGCGCCCCCATTGACACAATTACGATCATGCAAGAGGCGGGTTTCGACTCTAACTGTCAGGGTCAACCAAGGCTTAGAGGAATACATGTACAATGCCCCAGCAGAAAGATCGAGATACATTTTAAAAATTCTCCCCTCACAGAAATCGAACTCGGGTCTGCTGCGTGCCATGGCAAAACACCTACCTTTTACACCTAAGACACCTGGTCTTAAGTATGCTATTATTGTTTGTGTAAGCCATCCGTTTAAAGAAAAAAATGAATATTTATCTATGGATAACTTTTGATACAGTCAGTGATAAACTTTGAGATTATAACATTACAGTCTCCATATTTTGTCTTTCCACGATATTTAATATTTTAAAAATTCGATAAGTCATAGGGAACTGCTCCTCTGGACGAAAAGGCTCTTTTCTGCCTTTACTATAGAAGGCTAAAGATGAGCTTATCTATTGCTCCGGATCTATTTATGACAATATTCGTTCAGGGGAGTACGCATTGCAGTGTAGATCGTGGTCTGACCCATATCTGTAGTGAAGTTCAGTCACGCATCCTTATTACAACCAACGAATGTTTCCCACGGCCATCTGGGAGAATTAATACTGTAAATCAGCAAACATTTTTCCGACTCCGCCCTCAAGCAAAACAGACTGAAACAGCATAATATGCACTCCACTATTATGGATGAGAATTCGCGCGCAATATCGATTCGATAATGGTATATCGTGGTAAAAATTGGCAAAAATACGTGCTTATTGTCGATTCGATAATGGTATATACTCCCTTGAAAGGAAGGTTTAAAAAAAAATGTAGGTGACTTTTATGCTATCGTCGACACAATTTAGATCATTCAGAGGGCGGACTTCGACCCCGCATGTCATGGCCAACCCGGGATGAGAACGGATTCAACATATCGGCAGATTTACCAGGACACTCGATGGAAATTTTACCCACTCACAAATCGAACTCGGATCTGCTGCGTGCCACAGCGGAGGACCCAACCAGCAGAATGAACACGAACTCGTGCACGATTCACTAACAATTTTACTACTACCGTGACGTTGGTAGTCACGGGATTAGACTACCTGACTCTAATTATGAGGTATTGGGTTCGGGAGTTCGAGGCTTAGCTCGACTTTGTGTCCTTGGGAAAGGCACTTTATACGAATTTTCCTCACTTCATCCAGGAGGGACTGGGTGTACCTGGCCATAGCCAGCAAAAGATCTTGTATGTATTTTAGTATTTTAACGCCTGTAAAATGGGTGCTTGCACTGTGTGCTTCTCAGAAGAAGAGATCGTTTCAGAATGCTATCAGGTTTGCTAGGGTAATAATATCGATCGTAAGGGGTATAGAGCTTGCTTCTGAACGTATAATGCTATTTGTGAACTTTTGTTATTATTAAATTCCAAGTCGAAGACACACCCCAATGTCAATATGGCCAGGGCCCAGAGGACATCTACCTTATCCTGCACAACTGTACTCACTTCATAAACTAAAAGTCACAGACATGGCGACATGCTACATCACTGGAGACAAAAACTATAGGACAGCCTCGAAGACCTAGAGCGGACTGCACAGTTTGTGCTCATCATGGGATCGAGCGTCTAATTGTTACCGAGAACGAAGAAGAAGAATAAAGCTAACACTTTTACACCATTACTAAAAGATAGAAAAAAATACTGCTTGTAGGTGGCTAGATAGATGCCATTCTTTTTATTTTTTGTTGTGAAGACAAACTAAATCACGACTAGGGTCAAAATCTGGAAGGAATTGGTACATTGTCTCGAGAATTATAAGCAAAAAATTGGTTTCATTTTTCGAATGGACGACCTATAATTGAAGCAACATTACTTATTATTGTGAAAATTTGATTAAGAATGATAAATATTCTTCTGAAAAGTCATCATCATTGCCTTTCTCCCCTTGCACGAGGGTATAGGCAACAAACAAACACTTTCCACCCTTCTCTATCCCGGGCTAGCCACTTTTCTGTACTCCAGTTTCTGTGATTCTTGTCCAGGTTCCACGCGGTCTTCCCCTTGATCTTTTACCCTGTGGATTCCGATCCAACCCTTTCTTTTTGTGCAGCTGCCTGGCTTCCTGAGAGTATTATGTCCAATCCATCGCCACCGCCTTCTTTCTACCTCATCTCTGACTGGGATCTGTTTTGCTTTCCTTAACACTTTCTCTTTGGTGACCCTGTCTGTCCATCTGATCCTCAGTAACTTTCTTAGGCACTTATTCAAGAAAAGCTGGATCCTCTTCATGCAAGTCCGAGATGCGTTCCATGTCTCACATCCATGCAACAGGACTGACTTCACATTTGAATTGAAAATCCTCAGCTTTGTTCGAAGTGAGATTTCCATAGTCTTCCAAACCCTATCCAAAGATATGAAAGCAGCCTGTGCTTTTCCAGTGCGGGACTTTATTTCAGCACATGTTCCTCTCTCTGTTAATTATACTTCCAAGATACCAGAAGGATTCAACGTCTTCTAGTGCATTTCCTTCTATTGTGACCTGCTACTTTCGTTGTGCATCTGTCCTTAGGACCTTTGACTTCAATCCAACAGACTCTGATAGACTGTTTAATACAGGACATTGGTTTTAAAAAATGTAGGTGATTTTTATGCTACACTCGACACCATATAGATCATTTAGGGGGCTGGCTTCGACACCACCTGTCAGGACCATCCCAGGATGAGAGGGATACAACATCCTGGCAGACAGACCGAGATGATTAATAAAAATTCTTCCCAATCGGGAATCAAACTTGGGTCTCCTGCGTGCGACAACGAAGCACCTAACCGTCACACCACAGCGGTTGGTCGAAACTGTAAAAAGTCATTAAACACAAAGTGGTGCGCTACTAGCTTAGTTGGTATCATCGTGGATTAGAGTGGGGACGGCGGTGGTACCAATCCGCCAGGGATTATTTCTTAACTTGAATTGTTCGGAAAGGGGGCTCGTCACTCCAAAATTACTTGACCAATGACGTATATTTGGAGTCACCACTCTCTGTGGGGTCAATATGGGAGTTGCCATGACGTCATGCGCAAACGAGGATTTCCACTTTTTTGAAAAAGGTCATTAAGACTTTCCAAGTTTTGAAGATTCTCCACCTACTTGTGTATTCCCTATTGTAGATGGTCGGCAAAACCAGAACTCCGGGCCCTTAAATATACTTGACAGCTTTGAAAGGAAAAGGGCTCATACACAGAGTGGAGGTCATTCTTGACCACCGACGCCATTAACGTCAATTTTACCCCCCCCCCCCCAAAAAGCAACCCCCCACAACAAAACAAAAACAAAAACAACAAAAAACCCAACAACAAACAAACAACAAACAAACCAAAAAATTACACAATTCTCTTTTCTTCTAAAGCCTGACAACAGCGAGCTGTTGGCCAAGTTGAACATCCTTGGCAACGAATTGCAGAAACTCGGCGCCGATGTGGGAGAACTGCTCGATCAAAACAAGAAGGCCGGCCTCGGCCCTGACGGGTCAAAAGAGTCAAACTGGTCCGAGCTGAAGGTCTTGAAGGCAAGCAGAGAAGTTGGTACCAAGTCTAACAAGTTCACCGTCAAGTTCAAAGCGCCCGAGGACTGTCCATCCGTGCCCACAAAATGGACGCTGAAACCGGTAAACCAGGAAACGGCGACCACTCTGGTCTCTCGAGTGAGCTCCGTGCGTCAGGCGGATGGAAGGGACTTGTGTGAGACGACCGTTGACGTGAAGGAGAGAGGAGACCTCACGCTGACTTTGTTGGAGAACAACCGGTGAGTAGAAGTCACTTGATACGCACGTTAGTCATTGATTTAGCAGAAGTGCCGATTGTCCGGATAAATCCGGGAATTCGGATTTCCGAAATTGTCCGGATTTTGTAAAGTACTCCTGCTCATACATTTATAATGTACAATTCATTAATCTGTTTTTGAATATCAAATTGCACTTAATATGAAATAGTTTTGATGCAAGGTGCATACGATAACATCATGATATGTAAATGTTGAGCACAGGCGCACACGCACGTTTCTACGGGATCCAAAACGTTTAGGAATTTTAGATAATAGATTCACTGCGCGCTAACCAAGCTAAGAGGTAATACTTCTTGTGACAACTTCTGTTTGGGTGGGGGTCTGATCTTTTCTGTGCTTTTATTCTTCGATGTAACCTCTTTGTCCGCTTTCTTCCCTGACCTCCTTTTCTCTTCCATTCTTTCATCTGTGCTTTGTTGATTTCTAAAAACAACAAATTTGCACGTCTCCTTTGATACAACCCACTTGTGCCCTGACATACGCTAAATGCTTGAAGAAGCACCAGCAATATTTAAAAGAATCCTTATAATGAATTGATAATTGAATTGAAGATAATTAATATATGTTATTATTGACTTTTCCTAAAGCTCAGATATCGAACAGAATTGGCCCTCATATTTTGTCAAACGGCAAGATAAAAAATAGATAACTTTCTCCTCAGATATGAGATTTTCCTCCGCCTGGACAACCACAAGACCACATCCCTGCAGTCTAGTTACCAAGGAGAAGTTCCCATCAACGACTTTGCAGTGAAGACCCCGGATGTTGTCAACTACAGGGCCGGAGAAAAGCTCAAGCTGCCAGTTGTTGTGAAGAACGCCGGCCCAGACAAGTACAGGTTCTCACTCGGACTAGATATACAATACCTGACCCCTCAGGACAAAGTTCTTTTTTACAATTGCAAAGAAGGAGGAGATGATTATGCATGTGAGTTTGGAGTTGACAAAAAATATTTGAGTTCGATGGATGCCGATGTCAGTATCAATACGAAGTCACTGAAGCCTATCGGCTACACACGCGTTTCCTCTACTTATGTTGACAGGAGCGCTCTGGTTCAGGAAGCTAGGCTAACTAGAGTGTTGAGTATCCGCCCAGCGGGACAAGTGGGACCATATCCAAACGGGTTGGTTGAAGTTAAGGCAATAGACAACAAATGCGCTTTCAGTGAACAGAAATGTACTGCTAAATGCATTGCTTACGGAAACAACATTGACGAGAAGAGCATTAAAATAGAGAGAGTACTGAAGGGGGATGTCAAGGAGAAAATCAAGGAGATGAACGTGGAAAGGAAGGTAGAACTAGGTCAAACATTGGTGTCAACAGAGTTCACAGTCCCGAAGACATCCGAAGGTATCAGAAGGCAGCCGTTCGCTTGCTCCTTCCAGGTTCCAGGGGGTAAGAAACAGGAAGATATCGGTATCGTGTCCTACAAAGTGGAGACGAGAGTACTGAAGGAAAAGTCGTTCTACGAGATCAACGAAAGCGAGGTGAAGATCACGTGTACTGCCGAGGGCGACAAAGACCCGGAGATTGCCGCTGTGCTGAGCATGAAGCCTAGCGAGAAGGGCAGGCCCGTGGACCTGAAGCACAGCGACTTCCGGGCAGTGGAGACAGGTCCAGGGGAAGTAACCAGCGTGTTTTTCTACAACCACAACTATGGCCAGATCAAGCTGGATAGGGTGTTAGCCACTTGCTTTGCCCGAACTTCCCCACTGGATGTAGACCAGTTCGTACTAACTGATGTGTTCTATCTGAAGAAATCTCAACCTCAAAGCCTTTATTAATCAATGTGGAAGTGGAAGTAGTACAGATGCGTTTACTTGCAGTTTGCAAGTTAAAAAAGCGAGAGAAGAAAAGGGGAAAAAAGTTGGGGTGGGGGGGGGGGGGGGAGTAATCAAATAAACAGGTTGAGATAGACCTTCGGTAATTTCTAAGAAAGGAGAATTCTTGTCCAGCTCCATTGGCCCGTCACATCCATCCTATTCTCTCACAAGATCTATAGATAAAAAATGGTACTGCAGCCATTAGCAAACGTTTTGAATTCAGTTTCTTAAATAAATCTGGGATTTGGATACTCCCATGCACTAAGTGATAATGATGAACAGTATTTTCATAGATGTTAGTTAAAACTTCATTCAACCCGCAAATGGAACACTGTACGGAAACCGGTTCGTGTCATAAATGACTAATAAACACAAGGCAGTTCAATCTCATACTTGAGATACTTAATTTAAAAAATTGTGCCATACATCTGGCGGCGATATCTAGAATCTGTATTATATTTCGGTGCTTACTAATTTTTAAAATTAAATATCTAGGATACAGAGAAAAGGGACAAAGACTGTATTAAGAGAGCTCCATTTTAGAAATGAAACTAAGCATTTTTATTAACTTAACGTTATCCCAGCTCCGAGATTTCACTTTGGCTTTCCGATTAGTTATAATTTGTTAACGGGATGCCAGTGTTGTTGAAGCACACTAAAGCTGTTTTGAAAAATTACTTTGACTTTTGATAAAGGTAGATAAAGCTATGACTGGAAATCCTTTATCCTTTACGTAGGAGTCTAAACATTGAGTTATTTTGGACGTATACGATTTCTTTCATGATATCATTTACTCATTCTGCTCTCTTGCTTTCCATAGATATGAGCCCCCCATCCCTCTTTTATCACCCTAGAGTGTTATGATTTAATGATAGTTCTGAAAGTTGCACCTATTATATTTTCTTCTTAGAATGTAATTTGTATAGCTCTGTGTGTTTTTTTATCGGGAGAATTGTTGTTATCACTATCGTGTGCCTGTTCAGTCTCCTCACCTATAACCATTCCTATTATTTTCTGTATTAGTGTATTATGTTTACATTCTCGATCTTTTAAGTAACTTTGAAATAAAATCGTTTCGCCTTTATATTTTGTAGGCCTTCCTATAGTTGACATAGTTTTCTTCTTCTTCTTCTTCTTCTTCTTCTTCTTCTTCTTCTTCTTCTTCTTCTTCTTCTTCTTCTTCTTCTTCTTCTTCTTCTTCTTCTTCC